AACTGGACCACTCTCTTGCACCATACACAAAGATAAACTCAAAATAGATGAAAGATCTAAATGTGAGACAAGATTCCATCAAAATCCCAGAGGAGAACTCAGGCAACACCCTTTTGAACTTGGCCACAGTAACCGGAGAAGGACAAACAGTGTATGTTCTCATTCATTTGGGGAATATGAATAATAGTGAAAGGGAATATAAGGGAAGGGAGAAGAAATGTGTGAGAAATATCAGAAAGGGAGACAGAACATAAAGACTTCTAACTCTGGGAAATGAACTAGGGGTGGTGGAAGGGGAGGAGGGCGGGGGGTGGGGGTAAATGGGTGACGGGCACTGAGGGGTACACTTGACGGGATGAGCACTGGGTGTTATTCTGTATGTTAGTAAACTGAACACCAATAAAAATTAATTTATAAAAAAAAATAAATAAAATAAAATTCAAATTGCATGCAAATAACTACTTTTTCATTTTAGTTTTGGGTATTTATGTTTTCTGTAGTCTTAATTTACTTTCTAAATAATCCAGAAGTTAGATTTGTTTCCTGTTCCCAGTTTTTAGTTTTTAATGAATCTCTCCCTTCTTGCCTTACGGATTTTTTGTTTGTTTTATTTAAATTTTTTTTTTCCTATCAGAAAGGGAACATGAGACTCCTAACTCTGGGAAATGAGCTAGGGGGGGTGGAAGGGGAGGTGGGTGGGGGTGGGGGTGACTGGGTGACGGGCACTGAGGGGGGCACTTGATGGGATGAGCACTGGGTGTTATTCTATATGTTGGCAAATTGAACACCAATAAAAAATAAATTTATATAAAAAATAAAATAAAATAAATAAATAAAAATAATTTTTTTCCCAACTGGATAACTTCTTTGCCGATTTCAATTTTTGTATTGTCTGCCTAATGTATTTTTTATCTGTTTGTTTTAATTTAAAAGCTTTTCAAACTGGATAATTTCTTCATTGCTTTTTTGTATTGTTTGCCTTACATATTTTTCGTTTGTTTTAATTTAGAAATTATTTGAACTCGGTATTTGATTTCTTCGCTGATTTTAGTGTTTCTCTCTGGAGTGATTCCAGCTTTCCCCTTTGGTTTGTATAGGTAGCATTCATATTGCTAATATTTTTTAAGCACTATAGAATTCAAGCTTTGATTTGTCAAGCCATGAAGTGTTTAGGAGAGAATTTCTGATTTAAAATGTCCGAGGGTAATGCAGTTTTTAAATTTGTTTTGCTCTTAATGCCTACGTTTATTACATTATAGTCAGAGATCATAACATTTAATTCCTGCTCCAACCGACACATTAAATGCCTCCTTGTACCATGAGTATAAAATCAATTTTTATATATTGATTTTATATATATATTCATATTTTAAAAATGAGTATAAAATCAATTTTTCTAAGTGGTCCATACTGATGAGAACAAAGATCACTGTTTACATAATGCACAGCATTTAAGAGATACCTCATGCATTATTCATTACATCAATTTACTCACGTGTCTGCCTTTTGATTTAAACTTAGGAAAACTATATAAAAAAGACTCTCCCTCTACCATTTTTTTTGCATTTGCCTGTGTATCAAATAGGTTTTGGTTTTTTGTTTTACATGCTGTATATGGTGATCATTGGTGCATAAGGGATCTTGAGCACATATCCTATTCCTTGAAATAGGAATTCTCCACTTTATTATGCAGAGTGTCTCTCGCCTGGATCCTTACACTCGGGAAACCATACGATCATTTCTGCCTTTCCTTTCTCCTACACGTGATGCAGTGACTCTGTCCATCGTTTCCTAAACAAATATGTCAGGTAGGGGAGGTGGGCGAATGGATGGGTTAAGCAGGTGATGGGGATGAAGGAGTGCACCTGCCGTGATGAGCACTGGGCGACATAAGCAAGTGTTGAATCACTACACTGTATGCCTGAAAGTACTATTACACCGTATGTCAACTAACTGGAATTTAAATAAAAACTTAAAAAAAAAATAAAAATAAAAACTTAAAAAAATAAAAAATATATCAGTAAGTCAGGAAATGACAGATGTTGGTGAGGATGCAGAGAAAGGGGAATCCTCTTAGGCTCTTGGTGGGAATGCAAACTGGTGCAGCTGCTCCGGAGAACAGGATGCGGGGGTTCCTCAAAAAGTTAAAAATAGAAATACCCTAGGACTCAGCAATTGTGCTACTGGGTATTTATCCAAAGGATACAAACATAGTGATTTGAATGGGCACTTGGACCCCAATGTTCACAGCATCCATGTCCACACTAGCCAAAATGTGAAAGAGCCCTAATGTCCATCAACAGACGACAGATAAAGAAGATGTGGTGTAAAAAAATAAAAATAAAAATAAAAATAAAAATAAAAATAAAAAAAGAAGATGTGATATATAGACAATGAAATAGTACTCAGCCATTAGAAAGAATGAAATCCAGAAATTTGCAATGATGTGGACGGAACGGGAGAGTATTGTGCTGAGTGAAATAATCAATCAGAGAAAGACAATTATATGATCTCACTCATGTGGAATTTAAGAAACAAAACAGGGGGGCATGGGGAAGAGAGGGAAAGAAAACAAGATGCAATCAGAGAGGGAGACAAACCATAAGAGACTCTTAATCACCCCCCATGAGGGTGGGTGGAGGGGAGACGGGTGGGGAGCTGGGGTAACTGGGTGATGGGCATGAAGGAGGCACGTGACGCGATGAGCACTGTGTGTTATGCGCAACTGATGAGTCACTGACCTCTACCTCTGAAACTAATAATACATTCTATATTAATTGATTGAATTTAAATACATTTTTAAAAATAAAAAAATTCATAAATCAGATAACCCGGTCCCTTTTCACTGTGCCCAGTTTCATAAATATACTTACAACAGTGATTCACCCTCCGTACTAGGTCTTTCCTCACCTCGTTGTCCTGCCAGAAAGAACTTTCTCGTTAAGTTCTGTGTTTTGATGTAACGTTTGGCCAGAAGATGCCATTTTTTTTTCAGTAGCAAAGCCCCTGAGCACCTACATGCTTCACAATCACTTCCAACCATGGTGCCGATGACCGATAAACTTGGCCACGTGGGTTCTTGGGTGTATCCAGAAACCTCTATCACTGCAGCAGTAACGAGTAAGTCCTCGATGTGTAGATATCTACAGGTGGGGTCTTCATTTGCTTCCCTCATGCCTTGGCGATACCCATTTTCTCTGGTATTTCTTCACCTTGGGAAATTTTCTTCAAGTATATCGTTGTTGATGGAGCTCATTTCACTTGCTCTCAGCTCTGCAGCAGGGCCAGGTCTCCTTTAAAGCTTCCTACTCTACTAACTTCTGCTCACACACCGGGAAGTCTTTGACGTCTTCCACAACAACGAGTCTACGCAAGTCTGCAGGGCCGACTGCATATAACGGGGTCTCTAAGAAGTTGAACTATTTTTTTTTTAGTGACTTTTCTTGACTGCAAACATTTCCTCAGCTCACAGCCACACCACTTTCAGTTCACTCTGGGTTCTCCTCCTCCCCTCACACTACCTAGTCCTGATCACAGCTGGCCTCTCAGATCTCAGCCCCGAGAGCTAACCTGACATCACTCCTTCTGCAAACTCCGAGCCTCCCCATGTTCTTAGGTGCTGGTCAGCCAGAGCTTGACTCTCGCCTGCCAAACCCTGGCTCCAAGAACGCCTCCTCTGACCTCCCATGAGGAGGAAAGGCCATGACCCTTCCAGGCTCTCTCTGCACATGAGCGCCATGGCCCTGTCCACCATGCGCACAGCCGAGGACAAACTGGAAGACCCTCATGCCCACGCTGCTATCACAACCTCTCCTACCAATGCTTGCATTTCCTTGTGGCAAACTGCACACCTTCCAAAGTGCAGGCATCTGGACCAGCCTCCAGAAGCTGCAAATTCATGAATTCTCCATGCACAAGGTTCCACCATGGTGACATCACTCACCTGGGGGCATGTGGAAGGAACAGACGGTCTCCCCAGTAACTCACGCCATTCATGATAATGTGGGGACACCACCATGTGTGTCCACAGATGGGAACGTCCCCACACTCAGGCTGGAATGCACAACCCGCTCAACAGAACCAGGATGCTGATGTGCTCAGGTGTCTGCATTTGCGAGCACGCACACGTGAACCTGCAGGCATCCTTATCCAACTAAGTCTGGAATCATCGTTGACCTCCCATCTCAAGCGCTGCATGGCAATGTCAAGCCAAGTGCACGCAGCTCCTGGACACTGGGAACCACCTGACTTCAGATCAGTCCACGGGAGCCCAGCCGTTTGCATGAGACATGTCATGGCCCCATCATGGTAGGAACCTGCCCTTGCATCCCTGTCCCTTGCCTCCGAAGCTTCCTCCTACGGACACCGTGTCAACTGAGTGGCACCAACAACACACAAGCCCAGAGAAAAGGTGAGATTCACATGAATGAAGCTGTGTCCGAAGCTCACAGCAATGCCGCTACCATGCACACAGCTATCATGTGTCCCATGTGTTCCAGACCTCAGGAGCCGGGAATCGGCTTGGTCGGCTGAACAGCTGTGCTCTCTGATGCTCATCACATGCACGGCCATGTCCCACATCCTGTGTCCCACCTCTTGGTTATATCTCTACATGTGGGCGAACTGATTGCATCCAGCCTCTGTGTTCTAGAGCAATCCAGAGAAGCCCAGAGCTGTGCTTTGCTCCTAGACACACAGTCACCACCACAGCAGAACAGCCACACACGAGGCACAGCCCCCCCGGATGTACCTCCACTCATCTTCCCCAGGAAGCAGCCAACACAGGGACACACCAGAAACCTGTTCTGCACCATGCTATGCCTCCATGCCTCCTGCAGGAGCACATGTGGCCTGCTATGACTTCCAACGTGCGATCTCTCCCTTCCTCTACGAGACCTGCTTGCTTTGATAAGAGCTTGAGCGCACAAGCGTGTCAGCGACGCTCCAGAGCCACGACACTTCCCGTGACGTCCGCGAACGTGGGGGTCTTCCCGACTTACCTGAGCATGTTGGACACTTGTGGGGTGATGAGCACCACCAGCCTCCTGGTCGCCCTCTGGTTCCTCAGGGACTGGCCCAGGACCAGTGCACCCTGGCAGTAGATGTCGTTGGTGGCCAGCGTCACGAACGCCTGGTCAGACACTGCGGATGTGGACAAAGACACCAGAGTCACAGCCCCGGGGGGTTTCAGCAGGTGGCAGGCTTGGCGGTCACCGCTCTCTCTGTCTGAACCAATTAGCTGTTCCATATTTTATAAACATTCACTAGGAACATTTCATCTACATCCTTTCTTTTGTTGTTTTGTTTTTTTCTTTTTTGTTTTTAAGTAATCTTTCTGCCCAACATGGGGCTCGAACTCATGACCCCAAGATCAAGAGTCACACGGTGCATCACTGAGCCACCCTAGGCACCCCCTGCATCTTTTCCTTTTAAAACACACACACAGAGCACTTTCTAACCCAACACATGAGGCAAAGCCAAGCAGAATATGGTTAAAATGTCCTGATGCTGCAAATATATTGCCTGGATGGATACCCAAGACTCTTTGCTTTGCTCTACATTCAAGTCTGAAAAACTCACCCCAAATATCTGAATCTGAGACACAAACACATCAAAACGTGTGGGCAACCGCCCGGCTGTCTGAGCCAGGATGCAGATGTCCACTCAACTCAAAACAAAAACAAAAACAACCAAAAAACAAAACAAAACAAAACAAAAACCCAACTATAAAAACAAAAAACAAAAAAAAAAACAAAACAAAAAACCCCAACTATGACCAGTTTCACAGTGTCCCGCTAGGAGGGGAAGAAATGCTCATGGCAGATTCAATTGACGGTGATTTCCAGTCTAAGTGCGTCCTCGTGGTGGCGGCGTTTATGGGGACTTCCAAACAACTCTAATTCCTGCTCCCCCAAGAGCGTGTTGCCAGGAGAGACACAACAGTTGAAAGAAATCCTGTGCAGACTCCAGTGCTGTCTGCAGAAATTAAAATGCGCAGCACGCAGCAGCTCTGGGCCAGAACACACAGACCTCACTTCTCAAAGACCAGAGCGTCCTCCCCTCCCCGGGCCAGTGGCTCCCACTGCAGGGTCCTAGAAGGGCTCCTGTTCACGCTAAATATAAGGTGGCAGATGCAGGCTTCTGAGGCCTGTTTCCCCCGGGGGCCCGCCTCCTTGACCTTTACATTCCATGGGGGTAAATTCCAAAATGTGCCTGTTACAACAGGCTCCTGTCTGCACGTTCTTCTGCTGCTGCTGCTGACTTGCTGGATTAAGAGGGGTCTGCACACTCCCGCTGTCTCCACTGTGACTTGTGGGTTATACTCAGAAAGTAGACTTCAAAACTCAACTTTGCAGCCCCCCAAAGTATCTGTCTATCCATCCATCCATCCATCCATCCATCCATCCATCCATCCATCATATCTATCATTCATCCATCCATCCATCGATTCTATTATCTATCTATCCATCCATCCATCCATCATATCTATCATCCATCCATCCATCCAATCATATCTATGCATCCTCTATGTATCCTTCACATCTACTATCCATCCATCCATAACCACCTAGATCTATCGTCTCCATCCATTCATCCTTCCGATCGGCAATCTATCATCTACATATCCATCCATCCATCATATCTATCTATCCATCCATAATCATGTATCTAGCATCTATTCATCCATCCATCCACCATATCTACCGTCTATGCAACCATCCATCCATATCTATCTCTCCATGCATCCATAGTCATCTCGACTGATCTATCATCTGTCATTTTTCAATCCATCATCCATCCACTACATCTATCCTTCTTACCCTCTATCCATCCACTCTATCTACCTTCTGTGTATTTTTCATGTATCTACCAATATCTAAGAAGTGCCTAGGGGCAGCAGACACCCCTGTCTGTGGACATTTCTGAGACATGGGAACAAAGACTGGGATCCTCCAAAAGAGTTCAAGGTGATGAGAGATTCCCATATCCAGAATGGACCACCCTGCAATGGGATAGCCATCCAGACAAGAGGAAGGTGCAGTTGCATTGGCCCGAGGGAATGTACGGGGTGGAACATAATACAAACAGCAAAGTCACCAAAATTGGCAACTGCATACACTGGTTTCGCAGCATTTTTGTAAGGACGTAAATGTAACTGCTGTAATCAGCGGGTATTGTGAGCTGAAATACGTCCCTCCTGCCAAACTCGTAGGAAGTTCTCTCTCTGGGCCTCAGAATGCAGATATATTTGGAGGTGGGGTCTTTAAAGATGGGGATTAAGGTAAAACGAGGTCACTGGGGTGAGCCGTGATCCAGTAAGACCGGAGTCCTTACAGGAAGAGGGGAGGAGGACATAGACAGGCACAGAGGGACAACCAAGTAAGGACACAGGGAGAACATGGTGTCTACACACGCAAGAGAGAGGCCTCAGGAGGAACCAGCCTCCGTCCCTCTTGGACCTCGGACTCCCCACCTCCAGGATGGGGAGAAATAAGTGTATGTCCTTTAAGGCACCCCATCTTTGGGTTACGGCAACCCTAGCACCCTAATAATTTTTTTTAATTTATTAATGATAGTCACAGAGAGAGAGAGGCAGAGAAACAGGCAGAGGGAGAAGCAGGCTCCATGCACCGGGAGCCCGACGTGGGATTCGATCCCGGGTCTCCAGGATCGTGCCCTGGGCCAAAGGCAGGCGCCAAACCGCTGCACCACCCAGGGATCCCTAGCACCCTAATAAATTGGAGCATTAAACTCAGGAAGCAGAGCCAGGAATGCCACCCACCCTGGGGAAAAGAAGCTCAGCAATCACCTGGTGACCCTTTCAGGTTTAAGTTTATATGCATCTGCCCTTTTCAGGCTGAGATACTACCTTTTTCTACTAAGCTGAAATTGCATCATCGTAACTGGCTGCATATTTCCTATTTAAACGATTTAAACGGGGCCCTCCTCAAAGAAAAAAAGCAAATTCGCAAAGGAGCTTGGTTGACCTTTCCAAAAAAAAAAAAAAAACAGAAAACAAATAAATTTCTCTCTAAATGGAAGATAAAACAAAGACATGAAGAAGACCCAACCAGATTATTCCTACTCATTTATCCTCTCAATGATCCCTAAGGAAACTGTTCTCCAAGCCGCGAGGCCCGTTTTGAGTCATCACGGTTTATAAGCACGGGCCGGGCCGCCTTCCCCGGAGAGCCATCAGGCCAGACGCCAGGACAGTTGGATTTCCAACCGTCTCACGTTTCGGAGCTACTTCGTTTGGACACATCAGCTGCTTCCACGTGACACACGGTCGCACGTGAGGCAGGGGGAAGGGGAGAGCTGCCATGGTCCATGGAGGGAAGCGTGTCACCTGGGAGGGCTCTGGCGACCCCAAATGATACACTGAGGTCACTTCTCCAGAAGCTTCCTGATTCGCGGGATGGAGAAAGACACGGCTGGGTCTCTGGGGAGTGTGTCATGTGTCACCCGGCTCCTAGGCTCTGCCCCTGCTCGGGATGGAGGGATTTGTGGTCATATCAACAGGATGACAGCTCGGCACCCCCGGACAGCAGAGACCCTCTCTCCAGCGACCCCAACACGCAAACTCACGCTCTTGCAGTGCAAGATCCCCCATGGGTAAGAGCACCATCAGAGGCCCAAAGACAGGCCAGTGGACTTTAAGGCAAAAAAGAATGAAAATTCATTAACGTGTCTTCAGATGCCACACGGCCTTGCTTTTTAAGAAGCCACCAATGACCAATGACCGAGATTCGGTTTGATAGCAAACAACGTCCAAGGACACCGCATTCAGAGTCCGCTGCAGCCCAACACGGCACCAGGGTGGGGACTTTCGTCACCGCCACGGAGCGGGGAAACAGCACGTGGGGCTGTACTCCAACCACGGGCTTAAGAGAGAGAAAAAAAAATGAACTATTGAAAAATCAGGTTTGGCCCAAAGAACATGGTGCCTGAGGGTTTCGTAACGAGCCAGGGAGAAACGTTCCTTTTAATCCATTTCGATTCCTTGCCGGTCCTCTGCTCGACCCATCTTCTATCCGCACCCCCCAACACGCACACCCCGAAATAACACCGCCAGCCTCCTGGTCTGCCCCTCCTCTTGTACTCAAAGGTGGCTTTTGTTCCCCTAAACGTGTCGAATGCCCACTTGGGGTCTTCGAGAACGTTCCAGGGCTGATGGAGATGTGTCCCAACGCTGAATGCTGCCACTGTATGGGCCCGCGCGGCTCCGGGGGGCAGCGTGGCTTCAGGCGGAGGGCGGCGAAGCTCCCTGGGACACAGACTCGGTGGAGCTTCTCCTCCCAGCACGGTCCACGCCTCTGCCCCCGCCTCAACCGTGTTCCTTTCCGAAGCAGACGGGACGAAAGCCGTCATTTTACCCAAACGCTCCTCTGAACAAAAAGTAGTCTGGGTTTTTTTTTTTGTTTTGTTTTGGAGGTTTTTATTTGGTTTTTGTTTGTTTTTTTAATGGGCTCGTGGTCGGTCAGGTCTGGTCTGGTGCAAGACCGGGGCGTCTCGGGGATAAAAGCGGGTCGGGCATGGTTCCCTCAGGTTAGGGCCACAGACCCCTTATCTAATTTCTGGCCCTCTGAACTGTCACATCTGACGTCCAGAAAACGAAAGGGCAGGTGCACAGGACTCCTGTGACCCTCGGGGGCGACGCCTTGCCTTAGGCCCCAGCCACGTGGCCACCCCAAACCTGCTGCCCTGCTGGGGGTTTCTCCCCAATCTTTCCTGCAACAGCCAAGTATGCTTGTGGTCTGAACTTGGGAAACCCCAAAGGCACTCTGTTCCTAAAGTTTTGGGGGCGTGAGCTTCCTATCTGTGTAGGAACTGGGCTCCCTGCAATTGGATGGCCAGAAAACCAGCGCACGGCGCTCCTCGGGGTGGGCCTTACAGAAGGACCATTGAGGACTCTCAGGGCCCTCGGACCAGGCTCTGCACGGACCCCCTCCCTGCTGCGGAGAGCCACCCCATCTCCATCTGCCCCCCGCAGCGCGGGTCTCTGCACACGCGGGGGTACACAGGGGAGGCGAGGGGCTTGGGGTGACCGGGCCCTCAAAGCGGGGCTCTCCCCGGAGCAGATCCATCTCCGAGGTGGGAGAAGGGGCGGGGACGCTGGACCGGAAGCGCTGGGGTACTCACCGGGCATGGCGTGGGCGCAGCGGGGCGGCGTGCGCCTGGGCTCTCCGGGGCGCGGAGCAGGGCCTAGCAGCGGCGGCGTCTCCAGGGGCCCGCGCCGACCTCCAGGCCTGCGGGCGACAGCTCGGCATTCCAGACACCCACCGCGGCAGCCCTGCGCCCCCCACCCGCCAGCGGCACCGGGGGCCGCTGAACCCAAGCCACCTGTGCGCCCCTGGCGCCCTGCAGCTCCTCCTCCGCCCTCCGGCCCGGCCCCCCTGCACCCCGTTCCTCGCCCCGGAGTCACCTGCGCCCCCCACGCGCCCCGCCTGGACTCCGCGATCTGGGGCCCCGGCCCGCCCGGTGTCAGAAGCGTCCCCGCCGCGCTAGGGACCTCCTCCCGGCTCCAAGGCGTCCAGTGCTCCCGCCGGACGCCCCACGGCACCCAACCCCCACCCCACCCCCGGCCGCCCGCGCGTCACCTGCGCCCCCCGCGCGCCCCGCCTGGACTCGGCGATCTGGGGCCCGGGGACCTCCTCCCGGCTCCAAGGTGTCCTGCGCTCCCGCCGGGCGCCCCTCGGCACTCACCCTCCCGTCCCACCCCCCGCGCACCCCGCCGGGACTCGGCGATCTGGGGCCCGGGTACCTCCTCTCGGCTCTTGCTCCTCCCTCCTCCGCTCCCGCCCGGCGCCCCCTGCCCGCGAGTCACCTGCGGCCCGGCTGCGCCCCGCCCCTCCTCCGCGCGCTCCTGGCCGCCCGGCCCCCGCCCGGCCCGCGCCCCCCTCCCATCCTGTCCCTGGAGGTCCCCCCTGCGCGCCCCGGGCGCGCCCGAGCGGCCTCCACGCCCCCGCACCCCCCGCGCGCTCCCGCAGCTCCCACCCTGCCCGCGCGCCCCAGCGGCCTCCACGCCCCCGCACCCCCCGCGCGCTCCCGCAGCCCCCGCCCTGCCCGCGCCCCCGGCGCGCCCCAGCGGCCTCCACGCCCCCGCAGCCCCAGCCCTGCGCGCCCCGCACCTCGCTGGCGCCGCCGCACCCCCGGGGCGTTCGGAGTCCCCGCGCCAGGGTCCCCAGGGTCCTCCCGCCCCCCGCAGCCCCCGGCCCCCGCACCTCCTGCGTGCTCCTGCGGCCTCCGGCCCGGCCCGCCCTGGGAGGCCCCGGAGGCCCGCGCCCCGCGATTGGCCGCTCGCCGGAAGCCCGGCCCCACCCCCCCAGCGCCCGGGGCCCGAGTCCCCAGCAGCCGCCGCCCGCCGCCCCGACCCCGCCGCGGAGGGACAGGGCCGCCTTCCCTTCCGGCGCCGCCCCCTCCCTCCCCGCGGAATCCGGGAGCCCCGGGTCGGTAGCTCCGGACGTTTAACCTTTACCCAGCGCGCGCCACGGCCGATGTTTGCAGAGGCGGGAGGCCGGGCCCAAGGCCAGGGGCCGCCCTGCAGAGGCCGCGCTGGAACCTACGGCGGGGACGGCGGGCGGCCGGGAAGGGGAGGCAAGTGGCCGATGGACACTTGGCGCCTCGGCGCTTGAATCCGTGCGCGCGTGGGCGGACGCCGCGGAGTGTGTGTGCGTGGGGAGCACACGCGTGCAGGAGTGCGACTGTGCGGGCAGCGCGAAGTGTGGGCGCCGGGGTGCGGCCGTGCGCCCCCCACTCGGATGCGCCAGCGCCTGGCCGCAGGAATGAATGAATGAATGAATGAATGCGTGCGTGCGTGCATGCAGCCGTGTATCCGCACAGGACTGCAGGGGGAGGGTATGACGTGAGTGGGTGGCGGAAGGACTAACTGGATGCACGCGTGCATGAGTGAAGGACCCATCTAGGAATGAATGAATGACTGGGTTCAGCGCATGAATGAATGAGTTCCCTTGCGCACGCTTGGAGGAGTGCGGGAGCGCCCAGCTCCGTGAATGGGTGACACTGCGCGGCAGTGAATGAATGAACCCAAGGCACGAAGGGGGGCATGCGTGCGCGCAGGGAACGAGTCCACGGCTGCACGCAGGAATGAATGAAGGACTTGAACTAGTGACGGAATGTGTGTGTTCATGAATGAATGCGTCCTGGGGTGACGGAGGAGGAGAGGGGGGCGACACGTCCCCTCTAACCCGGCCACCTGCCCTGCAGGCTCACCCGTGTCGTGTCCACACCATCAGTGTGCATACCGACGTAGTTGAAAAACACCAATGATGTCTTGGTATTCTGGTGAAACCTGCCTGTCCCAACCCCCACCCACAGACTTCGGGGTGTCAGGGAACCCCCTCCTAGCATTCCACATCCCACACTTTGGGCGCCGACACAATTTATCCTCCAGAAACCAGAGAAAAGGGCCAAGAGGACATCCCCCCCGCTAAACCCCACTAAGGATCAGCGTTGTAGGGCGGGGATGTCATCCATCGCCCATCAGACCAGGGACATTGCCAAGCCATATTATTATTACCCCAATATCATTATTACTATTGTCCCAGCATCTCGGCTTCCCCAGAGCAGGACTCTGCTGGATGTCATCTGGTTCCCCATTGTGCCAACTTACCCACTCACGACCCCACGGGGAACGGGGTGAAAAGCCATCGAGGCTCACTGGCTTCGGAAAAGAAGGGGCTTGGGCGTCACAAGGACAGAGACAGAAGGGAAGGGCGCCAGGTTCTAGATGCACCTGTACCTGGATCAGTAACCATCACTCTTATGGGACAGATGTTGGTGGCGTTTTTCACCCCGCGTCACAGGCCCAGAGCTGCGACGGCACTGCAACCAGGTGCAGGCGCTTGGGCAGTGCCATCTGGAAAACACAAGCGTGGCCCCCGCCTCATCACACTGATGGCTTCCCCTCCAACGGTCTCCAGAAGGCACACCTGCCTGGAACAGGAGACACGTTCTCATGAAGCTGGACACGTGCGGGAAGGGTCAGGTCCCACGTGAGTCCTGCTCAGCCCCCGACAGCCCCCTCACTTCCAGGGGAAGGCACAGGTTCCCCGGCCTCTCTGCTGGTCTTGCTGTTGGCCCCAATATTTGCCACGTGTACCCTCACATCGTGCGGTGGGTTCATTCCGTTTGGCCTCATTCTGGCCTCAAGTGAGCAAACTGAGGTCCTGTGTGCAAACGCCCTCCTACGAGGATTGGGTCCTGGGACAGAACTGCAACGATAAGAGATCCATTTGTAAAGTCCCAGACAGCTGCTGCCTCCTTGATGTCCTACATGGGGCAGTGGGGTTCCCACATTGTCCCCTTTACATGGGTTAGAATTTACCCTCCAGCAGGATTTCCACTGGGTGCTAGTGATGTGTGCAGTGGGTCACTCTCTGAGGTGGGATGTCCTGTGCGCTTTAGGGTGTGGAGCAGTGTCCCTGGTGTCTACCCATCACGTGTCAGGAGCATTCTCTTCCCTCCCTCAATTGTGACAACCAGAAATGACTCCACACATTGCCAGTGGCCTCCTAAGGGGCAGGATCATGCCTGGGGTGCTAACCACTAGGATGGATGGATGGATGGATGGATGGATGGATGGATGGATGGACTTATAGTTAGATAGACATGATGATGGATGGATGGTTGAAGTATAGATAGATATGACGGATGGATGGATGGATGGATGGATGGATGATGGATGGATGGATGGACATGATGGTGGATGGATGGATGGATGGACATGATGGTGGATGGATGGATGGATGGATGGATGGATGGACATGATGGTGGATGGATGGATGGATGGATGGATAGGATGGATAATTGGATGGTTGGGTGGTTGCTTGGTGGCTGACTGGCTGCATAGATAGACATGATGGATGGATGGATGGATAGTCTCTTGTGCTAAAGCAGGTTTTGTTGGCATCACCAGGACTGACATCTGGGGCTGGACCATCCTTGGCTATGGGATGTTCTATGCACTGTAGGATCCTCAGTGTGCACCCCCTAGGTGCCAAGAGCACCCTCACCCCCAGTTGTAACAACTGAAAATGTCTCCAAACATTGCCCCATGGCCTCTGGGGGCAAAGTTACCCCATCATTGAGAAACTCTGTCCTGTAGCAAGAGAGCCTTCTGGGAGGAGGCCAGCTTGGGGCTGAGTCACCCGGATAACCCTCTGCCAGGGCCTGAGGAAAGAAAGGGGGGTGCTCTCCCTTCTCCAGTCACCCCCATGGCATCTTGGATGTATGTCTCAGGGGTCTCTGTGTAGAACAAGTAAGACAGAGGCGGTGACTGCCGTGGGGGGTGTGCGGGTGTGCGTGCTCCACAGAGTCTGGGGTGGCTGGTCAGCCGCGCCGAGGGTGGCCTCCTGCCTCCCCAGCCTCCCGCTGGGCCGGCACATCTGTCTCCAAGTGGAGCTTAGGCCCCTGGCTCCTATCCGCACGCACTGCACGGGCGTCTGGGAGAATTACCAGGAGCCAAAGTCAGGTCACGGCAGCTCCGTGCTGGGGTCTCGGTCCTCAAGGGGCTCCAGTGCCTGCGGGGTGGGGCGTCCTGTGCTCCGCAGGGTGCAGGGTGCTTCCCTGGTCTCCACCCCGGGATGCCAGCAGCCTCCAAAACACAGACAGGAGCTGAGGACGCGCGGGGTGGGGGCGGGGGATGCCCTCTCCGAGAGAGGGTGGGAGGGTTAGGGGTCAGGGAGGGCTCCCACCGCCCCTAAACCAACCATTCCGCACCCCATAGGCTCTAGGGAAGGGGGTGTTGGAATGCCCGCGTCCACGGGGCTCTCGGGGAACGGAAAGAAACAGCGACAGGTGCAGATGGTGGGGGTGAAAGGAGTAAGCATCGCCCCCCCTCCACGCCCCACCCCGGCCTCCAAGCCCTGGGTCAGCCCATTAGCAGACCCCCGCCCCCGGGGAAGTAAATGTGGGAATGCTCATCCTCCAGCCGCCCCAGGGCACCCCCGGGATCAGCAAAGCGAGTATGGGGGCTGGTGGCTGCCTCGGGCGGGATGCACGCTCCAGCTGCAAGCTCTGCTCTGTGCAGACGGAGCTGCCTTGTGTCCCCACCTCTGCCCCAGACGCCCGCCTGCCCCCTGGGACCCTCGCCACTCCGAACTGGTGCACAGAAACCGGGGCAAAAGGCACCCACCCCACCCCACCCCACCCACTCCCCGCTGCCCAGAGCGCGCATCCTGCCGTGGGTGGCCGTCGGGGTCCTGCGCGCCTTAGGCTCCAGGAAGGCGCGCACCGGGGACACCCGGCGACCTCCAGCGTGGGCGCCTCCGGCAGAAGGTGGGCTCCCCGGTGCCTTCCTGTGACGAGGCGTGTGCTGGCTGCAGAAGCGAGCCGTGCCTTCTCCCCGAAGGAGCCGTGGGGACAAGAAAAGGCGACCTCCCTTCATGCACCAGAAACCGCGTTAGTGGACCAGTACACGCCCTCCAGGGCTGGGATAGCTTTCAATCCCAGAAGCAGCAAAAAAGACACCAACCAGTGTGGTTGCACAACGTGCATGTTCGTTCTCTTTGTGGCGGTCGCCCTAGGAATCAACGTGAAAGACGAGCAAGAGGATATTTGCAGTAATATTGCCGATGTCTACACAGGCTAGCGCCGTCGCAACTATCTATCCATACGCTACCAGTTTGCAAAGACGCACAGCGGGGGACGAAGAAAGAGCTACAGTTGCAAAGCCACTTGATACAAAAAAATAAAAAAAAATAAGCAAAGCGTTTACAGCACAGGCTGCTGGGTTATCCTCCACCTCTACTTTGCCCCCACTCGGCATCATAAATGGAAAAAGGTCTGCGTGAAGTTTCAGGTAAACTGTGCCCGGGGACACCTGGCCGGCCCAGTCCGGAGAGCGTGCGACTCTTGATCTCGGGGTTGTGAGTTCGAGTCCCACGTTGGGTGTGGAGGTTTCCTTAACACTAAGTAGATAAATAAGATAACTCCGCGAGGTGTTGGCCTTGTCGCGATATGATATGATAACTGGGGTGGACGGAGCTGGGATTCTCCTCCTCCAGGATTCACACACACATCCCTGTCTGATCAATTTGGGTTAGGGGTGGTGTGGCCTGTGGTGTGTCACTCAGGAAGGAGAAGGCGCCTGGCAGCTTCTGGAAGGAAATCTCTAGCCTTAAAAAAAGAAAGCGATAAGAGATGTTTGGAATTAGGGCTCCGCATCTTAGTGGTGAGGCTGTGATGGCTGCAGCTACAGCAGCCACATTTGGCCATGAGGCAC